CCTAGGTATTGAGGACACATCCTTGGGCCAATCAAATTTAATTCTTTCATTCTGGAGAGGGGAGTTAGATAAACAAATAAATGAATGCATAAAAAACTATGGTAGTCCAACTACTTTCCTGTGCCTGGGTTTAAAAAAACAATGAAAACAAGTTTCTTTGTGAAAATTAAAGCTGGGATCTGGGCTACCACCACTGCCACCAGGTAGAGGGCCATAAACCCTGCCACCAGGTACAGATGCACCATCGCCCAGAGAGGGGTTGGTGCTGGAATGGAGAACACCGTCAAAATGACAGTTGCTTTTGGGGGCTGAAAGTTAATACAGAATTGGTGCCAGCAAGAGCTTCTGACCTGTAGACAGGACTCAGTCCTCTTGGCTGTGTAGGAACCCAGGTATTTCCAAGGATTCGTGGAAGCATGAACTCTTAGTAACATGTTCCAGACGTGATGACCTTCAGGGACACATGCTTGTCTTTGTGCCCAAACCAAATTTGTTGTGTCTTGCATTAATCTATAATGAGACCAGCTCTTCACCTTCTATAAGCAAATGAACATTTATAGGACTATAGGTTAACAGTACATATGCCCTTAAAATTTCTTCCTGCTTTGTTTCATGCCTCTATTCATATTTCAGAAATATAAGATTCTGGCACATGAGTATTACTCGGAAGGCACTATGTGTCGTTGTCACTTTGCCACCCCTGGGAGAGATCCTGGCTGAGAGTAAGGCCAGGAGGGCGGAAAGCAAAGCTTGGGCACGGAAACAGGAGCAGTTACCTGACGGCAGAGGTGGTGTCATTGCTACTGCTGATGTGACTGTTGTGGATGTTTGAGTGGAAGCTTGATTCGAAATGGCATCTTAGAGTTATAAGTGGTTCCACCTGAGTAGTTCACAAAAGAACAGATATTTAGGGTCTCCTGTTGGATATTCTGGTTAAGAAGTCTGTTGTAAGGCCTAGGAATCTTCAGTTTGAAGAAATTCTTCTAGTGACTCTCAAGTCCAGCCAGTTCCAGGAAACACTTATTGGGGCCAACTTCACCCTCTAGTAGATAAGAGCCTCTGTGGTTCCCATGGAAACATCAGTGCCCCTGAGTTCCCAAGGCCATTTATTCCACTAGTGGCAAGCGTAGGCACACTGTTATCCCATTATTAGAATGCTACAGTCAGTCCCTCTGGACTTCCGTGATTTGATTCTAACTCTGTTCCCAAGAATGACAGGACCCATTTTCTACGTTTTCCCATAGTCATTCATTTTTGTGGCTGGCGTGCAGGAGGAAAGAAGGCTGCTCAGCTGTTCCCTCAGTCTTTATATGGCAGATTTCTGGACTCTCTGGACATCAGCAAGAGTGGTTAGAGTGCTTGAAATATGGTCCCCTGGAGGCCGTGTCTGGTGGGTTGGGACTGGAACCTAAGCTACTTGGGTTATATTCCTGGTAACAGCCTTACCTCAGGGTGGCCTGTGCTCCTTAGTTCCTTCTTATCCTCTCAGGCTTCCTGAACCTCCCTGTTCCTCCTTGAACATCAGCATCAACACTTCCACCTTCTCCTGGACTCAACTTGATTAGATTCACCAGGCCATGGGGAGGCTATTCAAGGCCTCTAGCAGAAAAGTATTCAGCAAGTGTATGAAAGGTCAGACAAGGTGACAGAGAAGCAGGGAAATGTCACTCTTACTTGCAGGATACAAGGTGTGCATCAGAGGTGTTTATACTAAAAGGAAACTAGAACTGTGATTACACGTAAACAGAGAATCCTCAACGTAAACTGATAAATGCATCCACAAGGTGCGATGAGCCTGAGTTCAATAGCACATCATTTACTGTCTCCCACACACTGTGCAGGGCCAGAGTTGTCAAACTAGGTCTGTACATTTTCACCAGCAGACACATACTGTGCTGCTATCCCGTAACTGTGTTAAAACAACAAAGCTCACCAGCATTGCCTTTTTTAACTAAGTAGAAACTCTCTAAAGATGTACTCTGAAAAGACAGAGATATGCGGAAGTGGAAGTGGGTGGATTTACTGAAACAAATGTGGGGGCTGGTGAACGGTACACCCAGACTGGGTTCACCCCCAGCCCCGGGATGGCTCTGTGAACCTGAAGGAAAAATGCCATCTCCACAGCCTGGTGTGTGTGCATGCGTGTGATCACGCACATGTCCACACAGGCACATGCAATATCTTGTTTTTAATTAAGAATTGAAGTATTTCTACACGCATCAAAATATGTAGAAATGTAAACAACCAAAATGCCTGTGAAGCCCAGCATTGCCTGTTACAGAAGGGAGAACAAAGAGGCCCGAGGAAGACAGAGAAGGCTGCTGTATCTTCACTGCACACTGAGTGGGTGCGTTTCACACACCCCGTGCCCCCCACCCCCCAGAAATCCATATACTGAAACCTAATTTCCAATGTAATGGTGTTTGAAGGTAAGGCTTTTGGGAGGTGATGAGGTCGTGAGACAGGAGCCCTCCCGAATGAGACCCCAGAGCGCTCCCTTCCCCCAACTTCCCTGTCCACTGTGAGGACGCAGTGACCAGCCAGCTGTCTGTGACCTGGGAAGTGGGCCCTCGCTAGATGCTGAGTCTGCCAGCGCCCTGACCCCATGCTTCCTAGTGTCCAGAACTGTGAGAAATAACTTTCTGATACTGAGAACCCACCCAGCCCATGGCATCCTGTTACTGCAGCCTGAACAGGCCAAGGCAACCAGGGCTTGCAACAGAGCTGCATAGCCGGTGTCCTGGGGTAACAGAAAAAGCCTCGGCTCATGCTTAGCTGTGGCTTCTCACAACAGCAAAAGTCCACAGCGGTTGTTCAGCATAAGACGGTGTCACCATGGGATGACTCAGGACAAGCTGTTACAGTTTCCAAAAGCAGCTGCGATGAGAGCATCTGTCACACTGTCTCTTATCAGCACAGGAGGTATGTTGAGGCCTGTCAGTACGTCCCGAGGTCTGGGGACACGTCACATAGGCAGGGAAGCAGACGCCAATGCTCCTTTAAACGTGTTTTCCTGTCAACTCTGCAGAACAAATGCTCCTGATATACTTTAATTTGTAAAGCATGTTTATTTTTAAAGTGAGAATGTCTACCACATAAAGAAGAAATTTAGCAGCAGTTCAATGTTTCTTAAAAATGATTTATCTCTTGTACAGTACTTTCTGAGCCAAGTAACCAATTTTGATTGGAAATTGAAAAATGACGGAGGATTATTTCTAAAGCAATTCTTCTACTCATACCCTGTGCCTCAGAAGAAGCCAGACCTGTGACAACACGATTGTCAGCATCTATATTTGATTATTTAATCTTACTACTTTTAGAAATATGATGTATAGCTCCTTTCTGCTTATTTTTCACTTGGTATGTCTATTATGTTTCCTTTTAAAAGCCATATTTAGAACATTTTTTTGACTTAGTGTAAAACCAGGAAAAGAAATTGACAAGCTGGCAGGAACAATTTGAGGTACAAAACCTATTCAGGGAGCATAAATTTCAGATACATGACTGCTATTTCTCCTGGGTCCGGATAGACATCTTCATCTCTGCAGCCTGGGCCCATTGGCCTTATGGAGGTCTGGAGGGAGACCTGCACTTTGCGACCCAGAACTGGGAGCAGAGGGAGCAGCCTCCTCGGCTTCCGTGCTGTTTCATTTTGCCTTCTGATGTCCAACGTCTATCATGGTAGCTGGACCAGAGGACAATTTACGACTGTGCCGCCTCATTCCGGATGGATTCCTTTTAGTTTTCTCTTCTCTGCATCTAAGGAAAAGCTGCACTCTGACCCAGTGAAATACTTACTAAAAATATCCCATGACTTATCACTGCTGCCAGAGTAAATCTCATCCCCGAGCCTGGACTTTGGGGTCCTCTCCAGTTTGAACATGACTCTCTTTGCTATCCTTCCACTGCTCCTGACACAGGCCGTATATTACATCGAATAGAAAATAGACTGTACTTTTGCTTCCCAACTTCTCTGCCTTTTCCCAGGCAGCTGGCTCTGCAGGAACGGACTTTCCTCACCCCACTAACATCTTACCTATGCCCCTGTTTCAACCTAGCCTTCACCGCCTGTATAAACACTTCCCTGATTCTTTTAAATAGAAATAATTTCTCAACTCTCAGGTGGAAGGCTTTGTATCAACACCCTGCATGGCAGTTGTGCTGGTTGTCTGGATACACTCCTTTCTCTCCCTAGATGAGAAGTATACTGAGGGCAACTACTTCATTGTTGTTCTCTCATGGCTCACACCACCCGGCACTGGCCAGGCACAGGGAGGCTGCTTAGTGAAGCCCCTCCTCCCAGTCTGGAGAATCTGAGAATGAGCAGTTCCAGCCCAGAGAGTGCCAAGGGGTGAGGGCAACTCTTAGCTGAGGTCACTGTCAATGCAATGACACAAGCTCACCCCCCCCCCAGCTGCCACTCTGTCAGCAGCTGCTCCACGTAGGTAAAATCACAAGCATGTTCCTGTTGTTCACTTAAGAAAGGCTCATCTTCCCTGAGGCTGGAGGTTCTCTGGACCCAAACAATTTACAAGGTCTCCTGATCGTCTTGCTCTGGCTCTGTTAGCACGACTGAAGTCCTTCACACCTCGAGGGAGATGGAGCAGCAGCAGCAGCAACGGCAAACTTCCCTGCCTGGGATCTTTTCAGCAAGAACACACGGGGTCATCTGGAACCGGGAGCTCCCCTTTGGCCAGCCCTCAGCAGACCTGCATGCGATTCTGTGGTTTTCCCCTTCACCACTGTCTCCTGAGTCCCTACCGCTCCAACCTCATTCTTTCACACCGGGTGCCACCCGCTCCTCCTTCCAAAACCCACCCGCCACACGATCATTTGTCAAAATGATGGTTTCTGGCAATTGAACCTCCTCAGTCCTGTTTCCAAAGAGCTGATTTTCACTGAGCTGTGGAAAAGCATCAAGATAGTAAATAGAGCTGGAAATATTTTGTCAGGAAAAGAAAAGACAATCAGTCAAAATTTGCTTATAATTAATGCATTTTTACTTTTTTATATTCATCTTCTCTTTCACTAATTTGTTCGGACCCTAATGAATCCACTGAGGGCCTGGCATGTACCTGACACTTTCTCAGCACTCGGGGTACACAATGAGGAGACATGAAGAGACAAACGATGAGCAATAAACTTTACAGTAAATAAATGCATTTTATCATTTTCGATGAACCAAAGAATAGAGCAAGAATTCGGGGCATTGGGAATTCTGCCACAGGGTGTGCAGGTCGTGGGGGCTCAGGCGATACTTGAACAAATTTGGTGGCGGTGAAGAGTGACCCCCCGGGAACCGGGCAGGAGGAGCAGTGCCGGATGGAGGAGAGAATGCGGCCGGGAGCATCCCTGGTGTTTGACGGACAGCAGGAAGGCTGAATGGGTGGAGAACTGCGAGGCAGAGGGAGGGGGAGGAGGTTTGCACAGTGGCAATCGGAATACTGCCTTATAAGCCTTCGTAAGTCCTTGAGACTTTTTTTAAAATCACAGTAGAAAACTTTTCCCTTTCCCATAGCAGAAAAAAAGGGAGTGCTTTGAGCCGGCCTACACCAGCCAAAGGTATGACATCAATCTGCGCTCACTTTAAAGACTGTCAGGTAGAAAAACCAATTTTGCAAACACGTTGCTCTCTAGCCAAACACACGGGTGCTCCTAGGTAACCCCAGAAGGCAGACTCAGGAGAGAAGAATGCACGTTGTTGGAGGCGGGGGAGGTTCGGGACTCCGCCGGAACGTTTAGTAAGCACCACTGTGCATGCGAAGGGCTTCCTTAAAACAGTGCTGTCCCCTGGTGCACGTGAGACAGAAGAAGGTGCAGTCCCGAAATGGCTGCTTTAGTGCTTAGGGGGAATGAGAAGGAGATCGCAAAGGAAAGCATCCGTGGCCTCTTGTATCTCTATGCCAGTGCTCCGTTTAGGAAATCAAAAAGCAGACTACGAAGAACACAAATGTGTGACTGCCACTGCAGGCGCCACGGAGAGCTGATGGGGGAGGCATGGCTCCAGCGTGGGGGTGGAGACCAGCTCGCTGCCTAGGAGGAAGGTGTCGTCTGCAAATCACGAAGCGGTGGCTATTTATAGAAACTTGTGGAGCTGGCGGTGGGGGGATGGGGAGGAAAGACGTGCGTATGCCTGAAAATAAAAGGAGGGGAAAACACAGATGGCAGCTAGCCTGCCTCGTCCCATCAGTTAAAGAAACAATGTTTGCTTAGCATATTACATATTATGCCTGATAAACTTACCAGAAATTCAGAGGAGGATGCTGCCCTTGTTTTTGCATGTTGCCTGGAAACTGTCATCTTATCTTCCTTGAATGGTGAATTTTAAGGAGGAGAAAAAGCAGTTAGTCTTGGGTCCCCCCCGCAGCCGCAGCAGATAGCACAGGGTGCCTGATCGTATTTGTAGTGCAGTGTGGGCAGAGCTGTGAGGGGGACAGTGCGCGTCCTGTGACCCTAAACCCTCACACCCTCTCAGATCCCTCTCCCTTTGCACACCCCTGCCTCGCACGGCACCCCCCCCCCCCAACAGCACAGGCAGCTGCCTCCTCGACCTGCCAGCTTCTGCTCCAACCCAGTGGAATCCTGGGGAGGGAGGTCGACAACACCAAACGAGGCCAAGGATTCAAGGGAGATTCAGACTGAAGGGTGTGCACTAGATTCCGTGACAAGAAGGCCATCGGTATCTGGACAGGAGCTGTGCTCGTGGGGGGACCTGTCAGGCTGCGTTGGGTTGAGGCACTGAAGCCAGCAAGTATAAGAAACCTGACTGTGAGGGGAACAGCACAGTGGGAGGCTTTTACATTTTAAGACAGAAGAACCTCAATCCTGGTTAAATGTTAAATGTTAATGGAAAGGAGTTAGTGGCAAGGAACAGGTTGCTGACACAGGAGAGGCAGAGAACAATTGATAGCACGGCCCTGACCCCGCTGGGGTTTTAATATGATGTGACGAATGACCCGGCCTGCTGGCCTCTGACCTGTTGCCGGGCCCGGAAAGCAAGTGCAGACAAGTGTCCCTGCTGCCCCGTCAGTTCCAGAAGATTAAGCCTCACTATTCAGTAGGATCCTGAGCACTGGTGCCATTAAGCAAATCTAAGAGAAATGACAGGTCGTCTGTGTGTGAAGTCACACAGCACAGTCGGGAAAAGACTCCCCGGACTCTCATGCGTGTGTAACATTTTCTTAATATCCCCTGGGGTCCGTGACTCATGTTGGGATAAACCGCGCTCACCATTTCTGAAGGCCATTTCCACATTAACGTCATCCGATTGATTTTCATTATCCTGGGAACTTTTTTTTCCCCCTCTAAAGATCTATTGCATCTGCTCTGCCTTTAATTGTTTTAAAAACAAAGTCATCTCTGAGCAAGACATTGACAGAGACATAACTTAGTCTGACTCAGAATGAGAGCTCCGCGTGATTGCAAGAGAGCTGTGCTCTGACCAACAAAGGCAGCCACAGGGCCGTACTTGGTCGGCGTTGCTGTTTAGTTCTCTCAACAGTAAAGGTTAGTTTTCAAAGAGCAAAATGCAAGTGGGAAAGAATTATTCTGACCCGTCCAATTGGGACTATATTTAGTCCTGGAATTCCTATTCTAGTACATTTTCTAAATTTTTGGAGCTTTGGACGCTCGTTACCTTCCACCAGAAACAAGCGTGCATAGCAAAAGAACCCTGGCACAGCCCCCTCGGGACACACACGGAGCCCGAACGCCCCGCAGTGCACCACAGCGCTGCTCTGGGCTCCCAGGGTCCGGGGGCCACCAGTCGTCGGCACAGTGGTGGGCAGTAGAAAACTCTTAGCAGGGAAGTAAAGCTGCTGCCCTGAAGGGAACAGTGAACTATGTACCCAGAAGCTGAAATTTTCTGCAAAAGAGTCTGATAATGAAGAAGATAACAAGAGCATTCATTGTATGCAAATAAACAGCAGAACGTGACAACATTCAAATAGACCCCCAGACAAGACCAGGAGAGATGCAAGTCCTTGGCCACAGTGGACCAAGTGTTCTCCAGAATTCCTCAGTGGCAACATATTAGACATGAATATGAGACCCTGGGTGGCGAGTGCAGCGCTACAATGTATCATATAAGACTCTCAGCGCGCTGCGGGTCCGGCATTCCCAGTCCCTCCTTCAAGAGCCTGCTTCAGCTGTTACTGGTAAGAGCAGTGGCTGGATTGAATGCGTTCCGCCCCGTGGTGCAATTCAAGTTTCGGGTGAGGTCATGTTGCTGGGATAGAATCTGCCCCAGTTCTACGAGTGCTATATGTTACACTAGACATTGATTTCCATTTTTCAGGAGAGGCTTTCCTACTAAAGCTCAGTGAAGCATTTATAAATCTTTTCAGAACACCTTGTTTTTATACCTACAACTAATGTCAAAACTAGGTCATGTTGCTTAGAATCCATATGGATTCTAACGAGATATAGGCCAGAAAAGGAGGACACTGTACCATTTTTATTAAAAGTGGACTGGGCTCATCAAGTGGATACTTCAGAGTGGGTTTGACCCCTACGGCAAGACTCTTTTCGAATGTTCTTAAAGCATTCTGCCAGCCCATTAGATAAAATATGTATGACTATTTAGGTTAGGAAAGTACTTGGGCGAATCTTGTGCATGTAAATAATCGCTTGGCTTTACAATTTGGTGAAAGTCATTGATGATTTGATCAAAATGTGGTATACCCGCAGCCAGCTATGTCAGAGAATTGGAAGCTGCCCGGCTTTGTGTGAAGCCCATGAAGCCAGGCCCAGCTACTGGTCACAGGCTGCTACATGCAACTCTGAATTTTGTGAGTGACTGGACGTAGGGTCCACAGGAAGCTCAGAGTGCTCTGAATGGGCCTCTCAGAGAAGCTTGCTACCAGCCCTTGACCTAAGCCAGCTCTTCTGCCTCTGTTGGCCTTGATCAGGGCTTCCTCAGCCCTGGGGTTTGGCTGGTGTTGTAGACGTATGGGAAAAGATGTTCAAAAGAGCGCAAAGCACGGTCTTCATTTGGGTTCTTCCAAAGATGACCCAGGGATGAGGATTTAAATGCAAGTGGGTAACGTGGAGGCTGACTCTAGGGAGCCGTGTGGGGAAGTGAAACAGAGAAGAAGAAAGCCAGTGAGGGGTGTGCAGCAGGCCAGGCCCATCACCGCGGTGGGGAACCGGGGCGCAGTCCTGCTGGGGGCCACGGGGGACAGCGTAGAACACACCTCAGTCATCCCAACTGGGGAGGGGTGCGAGGAAGCTGGGATATTGGGCCACTACCACCCGCTCTGTGGGTAGCTGAAGGCTGCTTCCAGGAGCAGTAACTCGCTCCCTGATACACAGGCCCCTGCAACACGGGGGAGAAAGTGCTCCCCAGACGGAGGCGGTGTGGGCAGCCAGGCAGCCTTTGGTGAGCAGAGGGGTGCTGGGGGTGTGGACAAGGACGGCCTCTGCATCATGGGTCACCCAGGGGTTGGGAGCCAGGTCCTCGAGAGGAGAGAAAGGCTCCTGCCGTAGTCCATTTGGGCTGCTATCATTAAATCGCCACAGACTGGGCGGCTTATAAACAGCAAGCATTTATTTCTCACAGTTCTGGAGGCTGGGAGTCCAAAATCATGGCGCCAGCAGGGTGGGCTCCGGTGCAGACTGCCCTCCAGGTTGCAGAACGCCGGCTTCTTGCCGTGTCCTCACAGGGGTTCGGGCTGGGGAGCTGCACGGGGCCTCTTTTGCACAGCACCAGCCCCTCCCGGTACCACCTCCTAATACCCTGGGCATTCGGGCTTCAACATATGAATTTAGGGGGGGACACAAACAGTCAGACCATAGCAGACCCCAAGGGTCTGCCTCAACTGGACAAGGCGAAGGAGAGGGTCCTCCTCCTCCTTTTCTTTTTATTTGCCTCTTTCTCTCTTTTCCTCTGTCTCTCTCTTTCACACACACACAGAGCTGCTGGTGAGCTCTACATGTCACAGTACAAAGTGAAGAAGAATCTTTAAACATACAGAATTTAATCAGACTGAGAAATATAAATTAATTATTGAGCACTTACTGTATGCAGGGCACTTTGTGGCAGTTACAATAATGAATACGATAGCATCTTCCTCCGTAAGAAGTTTGCCATTGAACAGGTGGGACAAAACTGAAAAGGAGAAAACCTCTCAAGGTTCCCCAGAGGTCAAAGATGTCACAGGTCCTCTAACTGTCGGGGTTAGTGGTGGACGCTGAGAAATGATTAGCACTTCGTAGAGACTGCAGAGGACAGCAAGAACACCGGGCAGTGAACAAGTGTCATTTGGGATGAGATGGGGAATGGAGGGAGGTCAAGGTGGACTTCCCGACGTGACCGTGGGGTTTAGATGAGGGAGGAGGGGCCCCTGGGGGATGAGCACCGCGGCAGATGCTGTGAGGGAGAGAAGGGGAAGGGCCTCGTCGAGGAACAAGTATGAAGGACCATGGGTGGACACCAGGGTGGGGTCGACTGTGGGAGCGGGGGCTCGTGGGCGGGGCAGGGAGAGCAATAAGGGGAAGATGGGGACAACTGCACTAGAACAACAATTAAAAAGGAAGCATGTTGACTTTCTTTAGAGGGAAACACTGAAAGAGACATACGATAAAACTAACGAAGTGGCGGGCTCTTCGTCTGCAGACAGCTCTCAGTGTCATACTGACGTAATGGCTCTTTGCTCTTTTTAAGATTTATATGTTTATTTATTTATAGAGAGAGGGGAAGGAAAAGAGACATCACCGTGAGAGAGCAACATCAGTCAGTTTACTGTCGCATGCCCCCCATCTGGGGACGAACCGCACACCCCAGACATGTGCCCTGACCAGAATCAAACCCAACTCTTTGCTTCACAGGATGACACCCAACCAACTGGGCCACACTGGTCAGGGCGGTGCACGAGAACGTTCTGTTACGTGGACGACATCGCTAAATGCTGTGCATGGTGTGATTCTGTTTCTAGGACATTCTGAAGGAGGCGTAATTATAGAAACAGAACAGATGAGAGTTCAGCAGGTGTTGACCAAGGTGGAGTTGACTGTCGGGGGCAGAAGGTCACGGGGTGATGGAAATGTTCTGTGAATACATCCTGACCATTGTGCTTGTTGTTCATCTGTGGACATTGCTCAAAGTTTATCAATCTGTGCATCGCAAAGAAGTGAATTTTGCTGCCTGTAAATCACACCTTGATAAACCTGCCTTAGTCGGAGATGCGCAGAGGGGTGGGGTTAGTAGCTCACCAGCTGGCGGCAGGTCTCAGCCGGCCTGCGGAGAAGCTGCTGGGCCAGGTGCCCCCCACAGTGGGAACCAGAGAAGACAGGGGGAGGGAGGGACCCCTTTCTAGCCTGCTGTGGAGCCCCGCCTGGGCTCCTCAAAGGCGTTCTCCTCTCACCTTCCCAGACAACGTCCACCTTCCCAGAGACACGAGGAGTGTGAAAACTGCCCTCAAGGTTCCTCAGGCCGTGCTGTACCCCCAAACCTTCCTCAGCCAACCGGGCTGGCCGGGGGGTCAGGGAGGGTGCAGCGAACTGGCAGCCTGGGTTCTGACCGTGCACTGCCCACGCCGGTGCCATCTCTTCACCTGGAGCCCCCGTGTCCTCACAGTGACCTGCTCATCTCTTGCACCAGATGACGTTGGACGGGGTGCTTTCAAGGCTGGCCGTGAACAAAACAAGGATCCGCCTGTTCCAGTTTCTTCGTGCTGGTTTCCACCTACTCGAGGTCATTTCTGTCCTGGGCTGAAAAACCTGGGAAAACTCAAAATAAGTGGAAGTGGCGTCCTCTGGGTAACAGCC